AAAGAATTGCATTTATAAAATACCTTGTGAATGCGATCAGTTTTATTTAGGTGAATCATCAAGGCCATTAAATGTTAGAATAAGTGAACATCAATCTTATATTAAAAATAAAGAATTTGATAGATCTCAAATCTGTAAACACGCATGGGATAATGAACATAGGGTTCAATGGAATAATTCAAATGTAGTCCTAAAAGAAACGGATGGTAAAAAAAGAAAAATCTAAGAATAATTCAAATGTAGTCCTAAAAGAAACGGATGGTAAAAAAAGAAAAATCTAAGAAGCGGCTCTAATTATGCTAAATGAGGCCAATTGTGTCGCAAATTCCTCGGCAGAATGTAGTAGGATCTGGTTACCAATATTGAAAGAGGAAGTTATTAATAAGAAAATACCAGTATTAGTAAGTCAGTAACATATAGAGAATACATCATTTATGTTTTTTAAATAACGTAACATATAAAATCAGAATTTTGATGTTTGTTGAAGGTAAACTAAATTCACGAACAAATACTTACAATGTCGGGATAGTATTATGAGGTTTTTTTCCTGGTTTTCCCTCATAATTTACTATGGAATCACTAACAGGAGAATTTTACTGTCATCATGTCATGTGTTTGTCTTTTTAAAGACGAATTACATGCTATGATTTTTTTCTGACGGATATTCTCAAGTTAAAGTTGATTTCATGTAATCGAATGAACTATCTTATAAGTAAAGTCGTCCCAGGAGCGCAACTCAACAATATTGGCAATATCATTTTAAAGTCGTCTACTTTAAAATGCATAATGTATGTCTGAATTGTCAATATAAATGAGTCAGATAAAATTAAATTATTAGAAGAATTTTTCACTATGTAACAAAAAACAAAATTTGTTTAATTTACTGTTTGTATTTTGAGAACGATTTCCGAAGTGGAAATTGAAACGTCAATAAACGTATTTTTATCTTTAATTGTGGCTTATTCCCAGTTTAATAGTAATTAATTTACAATGCCACAAGAAAATAGCTTCAGAACAATATTATTATTTTAGCGGAAAGTTTACAGCTTCTTGATTGCAATATATTTCAAATACACGAATACGAACTCATATGTAACTCATAGGTAACTTTAACAGAAATGTTGATGTTATTGTACGTGTAAAAAACAATCTAAACTATAAATACAACATTATTAAGATCTCTGAAATGACAGCAATCGAATTAAAGATCTACGAAAAAAATGAAAATATTAAAATCGTTTCTACATACAGTGCACCAAGCTCATGTCCAAACGTATTTAATTCATGCCTTAACAATTATTTACGCCATACAAAGAGGTGGTACATTAATATTTTCGCAAGAGATATTAATATCGACTTATTAGTTCATGATGACTATGTATCACAGTATAAAAACTTACTTAACATGCATGAATATGTATCATATATAAACCAAATCACAAGATGTCAAAGCAAAACGTGCCTTGATAATTTCTTTATTGAAAATTCACAAAAAAGTAAACATAAACTTAGCTAATTGATGGATTCGCTAATTCGAACTTAGCTAATTGCCAAACACATCAAAAAGAAAGGAATAACACCAGCTTTCCGAACAAATAACAACCTAGGCAAATATATTAAAAATAACAAGAGCCAAAATAAAAAACACTTAAATAGTGGTGTGTACAAACTTGAATGTGGCGACTGCCCAAAAACTTACATCGGTCAAACTGGTAGAAACTTTGATAAACGAATAGCAGAACATAAAAGGGCTTTCAAGAATAGAAAAACAGATTCGACATACGCACTTCACCTTCTAGATCATAATCATTCTTTTAATGACAAATTTAAAATTCTTCACATTCAAAATAAAGGCGTTAAGCTATATTTGTTAGAATCTATGAAAATCAACAAATTAAAAAACACATATATAATTCTGAATGACCAACTTGAGACAAACAGTTCTCCCCTCCTCAACCTATTTCATTAGAGACTATAAATTGTAAACCCAAGCCAAAATAGATCACTTGAGAAAGGCGATCAGCCGAAACAGGTGTAGTGATAATATTTCAAATAAATTTTGTGGAAGTTTGAAAACAAAGTTTTCAGTGTTTTATTGTTACATAAACTTAGCTCTTGCATTTTTATTTACGAAATAACTGATCATAGCCCCATTGCAGTAATATTAGAAAATTGCAACTCTTCAGTTAGTACCACAAAAGAACAAACAACAAATCAACGAAACAACACAATGTTAAAGAAATATACTGATTACATACAGTTAAAGCTAAATTTAAAAGGCGAAAATTGGATTTCTGTTTATAATTCCACAAACATACATTATACAACTAAGGAGTTTATCAATACACTACAACGAAATATTTACATAACAACTAAGGAAGTACAAATTCGAAAAAAAAAATCAAAGAATAAGAAACTTTAGATCAATTTAGAATTATTAAAAGCTATTGAGGAAAAAAATAATTTATATAAAAAATCTAAGAAACACACCAGTGACATGAATATCAGTAATGAATATAAATTATCCAAAAAATATCTTAGCAGATTATTAACAAAAGCAAAAAAGAAATATTTTAATGACTTACCTAATTAATAAAACTACTTGAACTTCAATGGCTCTTTGGACTTGTGTCAAAACATTGTATGGTGGGTGGAACAGTAGTTAAAACAGAAATTGAACAGATAAAGTCAGATGATAATTTAATAACAGATCATGAAAAAATTGCAGATCTATTTAATAACTATTTCAGTGATTTGGGAAAAAATATGCTTAGAAAATTAATACAACTTTCAAGATGAAGTCATTGACTTACATAATCAATAATTGTTTCAGATTAGGTGTATTTTAGAATGTATTAAAAACAGGTATCATAAAACCACTTTTTAAAGGTGAAGATTGTAGTGAACTTGGAAACTATAGACCAGGAATGGCCAACTTAATCGGACTCGAGATCTACTGTCTACCTTTCTAATTTTTTGCAATCTACCGACTAGGAATTTTTAACGTTACTGTCTAGCAATAAAACTTTAAATCTAGAATTTCAACGTTAAAAGTGAGCTGAATATCTCAGAGTCGATCACTATATCTCAGAAAATCAATCACTGATTCTAAAAGACCATTTTAACAGCTTTCGAGATCTGAAAGAATTTTTAATCTGAAACCGATTCGGCTCTGAGCGCTAAAATTCTGGATTATTTAGCTTTCTTGCTCGCCAGTGTTTATTAGCAATACCTAAATAAAACAAAAGCATTAATTATTATTTATTTATTTTTCCAACAATATTAAATTGGAAAAAAGAATAATGTGAGTCGCTTGCGATGATCGATGCAAGATTGTTAGCGCTCCAATAATTTTCGTGATATTTATCACGATGTCATTTATCGTGATGTTAATTACTATTTTAATAACTATTTATTGTTTCTTGGCTATATATTAATTAGTATTTTATTGTTTTATAGGAGCCCTACTTTCCACAACTTTGTAAAGATAGCACTAACCAAGAATCCAAAGAAGAGACCTACTGCAGAGAAATTGCTGCAGGTAATTTTTTAATGCAAGTTATATTTAAATTCTTCAACTATCTACTGAAACTGGAAGTACTAAGGTTTCGTATATTATGTTTTTTTCTTGTTAGACTGTGGTTTTTAAGGAGTTTGGTAACCTTATTAATGCTCATCGTTAAGCCAACTGTTGCTTTTTTGCAACTCTTCGCTTCCGGAGATCTGATTTGCTGCATACTTCATAATTTCTTCTTATTAGCAACTATAATGATTGCTAGGCCAATGATCTGCTGCTGAAAGTTGAAAAAATAATAGTAAGGGATTTTTTTTTATCGAGGTTTTATTATGTACGAGATGTGCGAAGACTGAGATGTCATATTCTAGAAAGAAAAAAACTGTGTATCGCATTTATTTGAATGCAACAGGATCATAAACATACAAGGAATGGCTTTTATCATCAATGTTTGTGTTGCTGACAGTTGATTTTGTCTAAAACAGTGGACAGAAGTCAGAGAATTTGCCCCAAAGGAAGCAAAGACATCAAAGTATCGAATGGAAAGTTTATAGCATTACTTTTCCAGTCGATACTTATGTAGCATATATTTTTGGCATTTTTCAACTAATTACACAAGGACCAAACAATTAATGGAAAGTGTTGATCAGCTGGATGACAACCAAATGCTTATCTTGACCAGGTAGATTAACGAATTATAATCGGCCAATTTGTGCTAATTTTGTTTCAACAGAAATTTGTAAGTGTCTTTCGGTTTTGGAACTGGTAAAATTGAGATATTTGTAGTATAAATTTTTTGGAACAGCCTCTTTATTTCCCAGACTTGACCATCTCCGACTGTTATATATTCACAAACCTTAGCAAATTTTTGAACGGAAAAAGGACATTTGGACGAATCTAACGCTTGTCTTGCGCGCTTTTAAATGATTAAGGGTTTTAACTTTTGAAGTAAACTACACTCACTCTAAATCCAATAAAGATTGTTAGGTTTGTTTGAAAAGTACTTATAACCACCATCTATTATCTTTTTGTTCAACAGATGTAAAGGACAACACTGCTCCATTTCATTGTTTGTCTGCATTCGAGGTTACACAGTTGCCATGATTATTTTACTACTATCGAAAAGATAATGCCTTCTATGTCCATTCCATATCATTTAAATATGGATTAGCCCTCAATACTTCATCTGTGCGCCACATTTAATAGTAAATTTCGCAAAATGGCGAATCTGCTTTGTAACAAATCTTGTTATAAAGCGAAAACATGTTAGTTGAGATGCGAATTTGTTTGCTGATATTTCAGCTATTTTTAAATTAGAAACCGAAACGTATTTTCAATCAAAATTGTGCTTATTTTTCATTAAAGATAGCATATAGCGAAATTGTTTGGTTGCTCTTTAGTGCTGCGACTTTCGTGTTTAGGTTGTATAAGTAATATTGTTCTGTAAAACTGTACCATATAAGGACTCATAAAATTCCTGTTTCAGCATGCGTTTTTCCAAGGAGACATGCACAGAAGACTGGCTTTAGAATTATTGCAAAAAGTTAACAATCCTTCACATATGTTTGCTGACCTCGAACCTGACGAAGATGGGGTAAGTTGTTTAAAAACATTAAAAGATCTTTTTTCACCCTCACCAATTCTACCTTCCTATTTTCACTTCTATCCTTCTCCTAATCTACACTTTCTTGCCTTCCACGTACCACGTTACTAGTTAAATCACTGAATATATTTACCCTTATGACCAAAAACCCACAGTGTGGTGGAGATATGTCGATGATGTATTTTCCAATTGGCATCAAAAAATTTGATGGACATTAACTATAGAGAAGAATCAATCAAATTTACCATGGAAAAGGAACAACTCCCTACCATTTATGGATGTGTTAATAACAAAGGGGAATATCGGATATGTAACTAAAATCTACATAAAAGCAACCTACACCAGCAGATATTTAAGTTATCTTTCAAACCACACCATAAATATCAAACAAAAGTCATCAATCATCAAACTACTATATGATAGCGTCCAAAGTCCTGCTTCAATGAAAATGCATTTCAGGAAGGAAAAAGGCCTGATAACAAAGATTTTAACAACAAACGATCATCCATTGTCATTTATAAACAAGGAATTCCACAATATTGAAGAAAGGGATCAACAAAATACCAAAACGATTCAGAAATGCTCACAAGAAGAGAATTGAACGTAACAGTACCATATGTAAATGACATCAGAAAATTTTAAAAGGATCAGAAATAAATACATCATAACAATATTTAAAACAGCCTATACACTGAGATATATTCTGTCCAAAACTAAACCAAACAGCAGATATGAGAGATCAAAGAACTGCTCTATCTACCTTGTAAATGCAACAATATTTATATGGGAGAAACTTTTAGACCATTAAGTGTTAGGACAAATGAACATGAATCATACATTAAAAATAGAGATTTTGGCAGATCCTAGATGTGCAAACATTCCTGGGACAATGAGCACTGGAAAGATGAATAAATATTAATAAAAGAAAGGCAAAAAAAGGAAAATCAAAGTCAAAATCAAAGCATACTAATTTTGTAGTGCCCAATGATAAATTTCTTCGAGATTTTGAATTAGTGATACTGCTATGTGGTGTAGAAACCTGGATCATTAACGCCAATATGATGAACCGATTGGAGGCCTTTGAAATGTGGGTATTTAGAAGACTACTTAAAATTCCCTGTACAGATCACACAACAAATGTCGAAGTATTAAATCGAATGGGCAGAGAACAAGAATTGCTGTCAATAATAAAAAGAAGAAAACTGCTTATCTGGGTCATATATTTCGAAATTTCAAGTACCAGTTCTTAAAGCTTATTATGTAAGGGAAGATAGAAGGAAAACGGGGCATCGGAAGAAAGAAATACTCATGGCTTAAAAACATAAGGGATTGGACAAACCTCGATGCCCATGCACTCTTTAGAGCCACACAGATTCGAGATGAGTATGCCAGAATTGCCGCCAATATCCACTAATTGGATAGGACACCATAAGAAGAAAAAGAAGATAATTCCGCATTTAAGATACACCAAGGTGCCAACATTTCAAAAGGACTGCGTTTCTGTATTTTTCCGAATCTATTGTACATTGATATTGTGGTGCATCATAGGAACTTAACTATAACACAACTCTTGCGAATTCCAAAATGATAAATAAACTTTTAAACATAGCTTCTAACTCGTATATATTTGTTTAAAGGCTGTGCCGAATGTTCCGCAAAGAATTGCATCACGACTGACTTCAAGACCAAAACCCCAGAACGCTGTTCTTTCTAACTCAGATGTAGATCGCATCGATGAAGCTAATAACACTCTACAGAGATCAGGTAAGTGTCCGCCGGTGTGTCTTAAATTACGTTCGAATATATAAGTGGAAGATGCAGAATTAAAAAACCTTATACAGGGTCCAATAAAAGTTACTCCTTTCTGAATCAAATCAAATTCACACACATTTTATACTAAACTATTTCCATTATTATTGAAGGAATTCCATTATCAAATCATTTTGTTTTCTATATTTTATTTTCAACAAATAAAGCCGAATAAAAACAATGATTTACTAGCAGTCTAAGAAAAGATACCGATTTGGTACAAAACAGGAATATGAACATTTACAATTACAAGGCAAATATGAAAACTAAACGCAATTTGTTGCGAACAAAAGCTATACCATACATAAACACGGAATCTAGTAACTGAAATACAAATCTATCTTGAAATGTTTTGCCAAATCTTGTCCCTAATCCAAAATGGACTTTACTCTTGAACATACCCAAATTCCTTTTGATGAGGTAGGCTGGTACTTTTAATTACTTATTTTCTGCCCCTTTTGGATATTATTAAGTAAAAACGCTTAACACACAATACAGACAAAAAAAGATAGCCATTTCTTTATGACCTCACAATTATATTCTTTTGATAGTTACATACGCAAGACTGCATACCTTGGACACATACTAAGAAATAATAAATATAGTCTTCTGCAGGTCATCATGCAGGGTAGAGTCGATGGCAAAAAGGGAATAGGTAGAAAGAGGAAGTCATGGCTGCGAAATATTCGAGACTGGACAAACATGACTGTAGACGAATTATTCCACGTTGCAAAAGACAGAGAAGCTTTTAAAAATGTGGTCGCCAACCTCCGTTAATGGGGACGGCATAGGAAGAAGAAGAAGATAGTTACATGCCAATATTCTGTCATCGGACAACAGGTGTTACCTTGTTACAAATCCAATGATTTCGAAAGCACAAATTATACCATCAAATACAGCAGAACATACAGATGTATCGATAATATAATGACTTTTATTACAGTCTGGTTTATATATTATGATGAACTCCAAAATGAAGTTGAAGGAAAGACATTACACAAAGATTCAATTAATTTTGAGTCATTTGATCGATTTTGTTCATTTCGAAAAAACTATGACATTGCAGCGATTCGTTTCAATTCGATATTTATTGAAGTGTTGTGGGATACACAATATTTCTTGTTTTCGTTCTTGTACGTAAACGAATAAATCAAAAGATTTTCTTACTAGTGAGCAGGCTACATAGAGCTGCACTTGTGAAAAGCTATGTCTTTGAATTTTCCAGTCAAAATTATTGCCTTGTAAAATTGTTCATCATTTTCTAGACAGAGTCTGGTTTCATTGCAAAATCGTGGTAAAGTTACGTTTCGAAGAAAAATGTAGGGTATGTCAATTTTCAATGTAATAATGTGTAGCGGCATGCCTGGCAAATCAAGTGAATTCAAGAATTCATTTGGATAGTTGACAACTTCGTCTTAATTCACTACAGCATCGATGAACTTTAGATACGTACTTATCGATATATTGTAATGGTTAATTTGATGGTATTGATATCGATGTTCTTTGCTGCTAATTTAGCACTCATACTGAGCCACTGACGATTTTTGTAGTTCTGTGCAATATTTGAAAAGGCTTTTTGTATCAATTCGTCTATGCTTTCTGTGATCTTACAGAAGTTTGCTGGTATGGTGATACCTTACATAGATTCATCAATTTGTAGGCGATGCGTCCCTTTAGTTGTACACGCATGTTGATTTTCAAAGTCAATTTTTGTATATGGCAATATATATATATATATTTTTGAATATATATGTATATATTGCCAAACATATGTCTTCAATCAAAATCAATGCCTCATTATTCACGTTTGGTGTGAATTGAATGTCCGGATTTTGTTTTGTAGCGCGCAATGATGTAGAATATGTAGTAGATGTAGTCCATGTGTTTTCCCCAAAGCTCTTTTAGATTAGATAGGAAGCAGGTTGTCAATATTATGGCAAATAACGACGTGAATAATACGTTTGAGTTTATTAATGTCAATCAGTAATCCGAATCTCACAATGTATCCAATTCAATTAAACCGGCTGTTCACATTCAGATGGAAATATTAATATTGACGGTGATCACCAATTTGCTGAAAAATTTAAAGCGAAAAAAAATCAGCATTCAAGAATTATTGAAATCGATTTCAATTCCACTCACGATGGTATTCGATTGAATTATTTATCTAAATTATTTTAACTCACAATGAAATGCACAAAATTATTCGAACGCTCTCAAATATAAAAATATAGACGTGAATTTCACAATTTACATGAATTCTTGTCACCAACAACTCTAAACGTCATCATTCGTTCGCTGTTTTTGTTTTAATTCACATCAGCATGAACTGTCGCGGCTATATATGAAATTCATTGGAATGCCAGTGGCGCCATCTGTCGAAAATTGGTCGTACCAACGTAGAAACCTTCTTGGGCTGAGGCACAACAACTTTGCTAAAGATCATCACATCAAATGCATAGTTTACGATTATATAAAGGATAATATACACGGGGGTGCAAAATTAATCGGACACTCAGATTTTTCCTAAAAACTGGGGTTTAAAAAATCTAAGGTGTTCCCAATTGAGTATTTAGTAATAAACAAAATTTTAAACAAAAGTAAAATTTATTACAACTCAAGAATGTTACACAGAAAAAACAATAAACAATTCAAAGAATTTGAAAGTCTATAAGGAAACAACATTTTTTATGGAAAACGATATTTAGTAGATTGCATTAACTCTACGAGCTCTAATTACGTCTCTCATTCGATCAAATATACTTCGGATTAAGGCAGCAAAGTCTGCTTGAGGGATTTGCTACCATTCATTACGAACTGCTTGATCCAAATCATTAATGGTTTCAAGCTCACCATGGTTATGTCGAATACGTCGTCCTAGAATATTCCATGCATGTTCTATCGGATTTAAGTCTACATTCCTTGGGGGCCATGGTAATAAACCAATCCCAACTTCATCCAAGTAATCCCTTGTTATTCTTGCGATGTGCGAACGAGCTTTATCTTGCATCAGACAAAAGTTTTCTTTTTACGTATGTGTAAAAGTGTTATTGTTCGCACAAAACATCTAAACAAGTTAAAACAAGAAAAAAGCGTTATCGCTAATAAGGCAGAAAATAGAATTCAAACAAACTATTTTTGATCTAAACATCAACAAAAAACAAAAAAATCTGAGTGTCCGGTTAAGATTGTACCCCAGTGTATATTGCAAGTGGTTTTCCTAATTATTAAATATATTTTTCTTCTTCAGATATACCTACAGTAATAGTGGAAGAAAAACAACCGCAATGGGACCTGATGGATATTATGAACAACGTCACCAGCGTGCACAATTGCGTAGAACATCAAAATCAAAAATGTGGAATCGGAAATGCTTTTGATTCGCTGAATAGGGAGAAGTGAGTAAACTGGTTTTGTTTGTAAATATTCACGGTCATTGCTATAAAATGTCATTAGGCTTTTTAATACAACATTTATGAAATAATATGTAGAAAACAAAAAACCTGGAATATTTCATTTTTCTACAAAATTATTTAGAATTACTCGTTTTGTTTTTGTGCTTTGTTGTATAATTATAAAAAACGGTAAACTCCTGCTTTCATTATAGTAGTGCAAAGAATAAGGATTAATTTTGGATAGTCTGGAGTTATTCATTGTCAATTTTTCAGCAACACTGAGTCTGGCATTCTACAGAGTTTGTATATTGAAGAACTTTACTGAAAGTTCTATAAAGTGTGTTTTTGTGTGTCATGTGCTTTGCCGCATGTTGGTAATTTATAATTTGCCGTTTTCGGCACCCTTACACCAGTCCTTTATGTTTCTCAGCCACGAATGTTGTTTTATTATTGTGCCTTGGCTCATCTATGTATTTACTTGTAAGATTTATTTGGAAATGCAATATAATACAGACAGACCATTCTTCCCAGTTGACAAGTTGTCTATAGCTTCTTTCTGGCCTTCGAACAGGACTTGAGCATATCTTTTCCATACGTT